TGTAGAACTTATTGGAGACTTCATATCTCTCAATCCGGGCATTTGCTTGAAATATTAACTTCAACTCCTGGAACATCTCATATGCTCCATGACATTCAAAACATCGTTGAAGTCCCGGTTCTAAGCTGTAAAGCATGGCACACTGAACTATCGAGTAGTCATCAGCTTTGCTCTGCCAGGTGTTCACAGCATCTGGTGTTGCTCCTGCAGCGGGTTTGTCATCTAGCAGTGCTTCCAGGACGTAATTCTTCTGTGCAGCAATGAGGATAATCCTCAAGTTACGGACCCAGTCCGTGTAGTTGCTACCATCATCTTTCAACTTAGCTTTCTCTAGGAACGCATTAAAATTCAACGGAACAACAGCACGGGCCATCTATCTACAACAACATAGACATGCAAAATACTATCAGGTACTAAGTTCATGATAAATTAAAGTTCAATTAATCAAATTACTTAAGAACTCCCACTTAGATAGATATATCTCTAATCATCTAAGTGATCACGTGATCCATATCAACTAAACCATGTCCGATCATCACGTGAGATGGAGTAGTTTTCAATGGTGAACATCACTATGTTGATCATATCTACTATATGATTCATGCTCGACCTTTCAGTCTCAGTGTTCCGAGGCCATATCTGCATATGTTAGGCTCGTCAAGTTTAATCCGAGTATTTTGCGTGTGCAAAACTGGCTTGCACCCGTTGTATGTGAACGTGGAGCTTATCACACCCGATCATCACGTGATGTCTCAGCACGACGAACTGTAGCAACGGTGCATACTCAGGGAGAACACTTATACCTTGAAATTTAGTGAGAGATCATCTTATAATGCTACCGTCTAATTAAGCAAAAATAAGATGCATAAAGGATAAACATCACATGCAATCAATATAAGTAATATGATATGGCCATCATCATTTGTGCCTTTGATCTCCATCTCCAAAGCACCGTCATGATCACCATCATCACCGACTTGACACCTTGATCTCCATCGAAGCATCATTTTCGTCTCGCCAACTATTGCTTCTACGACTATCGCTATCACTTAGTGATAAAGTAAAGCAATTACATGGCGATTGCATTTCATACAATAAAGCGACAACCATATGGCTCCTACCAGTTGCCGATAACTGTGTTACAAAACATGATCATCTTATACAATAAAATTTAGCATCATGTCTTGACCATATCACATCACAACATGCCCTGCAAAAACAAGTTAGACGTCCTCTACTTTGTTGTTGCAAGTTTTACGTGGCTGCTATGGGCTGAGCAAGAACCGTTCTTACCTACGCATCAAAAACCAAAACGCGGTATAGTGATTGTTTTTTATCTTCAGAAAGAACCATGTTCATTGAATCCGATTCAACTAAAACTGGAGAAACAGACACCCACTAGCCACCTGTGCGCGAAGCACGTCGGTAGAACCAGTCTCGCGTAAGCATACGCGTAACGTCGGTCTGCGCCGCTTCATCCAACAATGCCGCTGAATCAAGAATCAACTAGTGACGACAAGCAATATGTATATACCCACGCCCACAACTCCTTTGTGTTCTACTCGTGCATATAACATCTACGCATAAACCTGGCTCGGATGCCACTGTTGGGGAACGTAGTAACTTTAAAAAATTCCTACGCACACGCAAGATCATGGTGATGCATAGCAACGAGAGGGGAGAGTGTTGTCCACGTACCCTCGTAGACCGTAAGCGGAAGCGTTATGACAACGCGGTTGATGTAGTCGTACGTCTTCACGATCGACCGATCCTAGTACCGAACATACGGCACCTCCGCGGTCTGCATACGTTCAGCTCGGTGACGTCCCACGAACCCACGATCCAGCAGAGTGTCGAGGGAGAGTTTCGTCAGCACGACGGTGTGATGACGGTGATGGTGATACTACTGGAACAGAGCTTCGCCTAAGCACCGCTACGATATGACCGAGGTGGATTATAGTGGAGGACGGCACCGCACACGGCTGGAAACAATCAACTTGTGTGTTCTAGGGTGCCCCTGCCCCCGTATATAAAGGAGCAAGGGGGAAGACCGGCCGGCCCTTGGGGCGCGCCAGGAGAGGAGAAGTCCTCCTCCTAGTAGGAGTAGGACTCCCCTTTCCTACTCCTACTAGGAGGGGGAAAGGAAGGAGGAGAGGGAGAAGGAAAGGGGGTGCCCCCCCCCCTTCCCTAGTCCAATTCGGACCAGAGGGGGAGGGGGCGCGGCCTACCCTGGTTGGCCCTCTCTCTCTCCACTAAGGCCCATGTGGCCCATTCGTTCTCCTTGGGGGGGGGGGGGTCCGGTAACCCTCAGGTACTCCGGTTTTCTCGAAATCACCCAGAACACTTCCGGTGTCCGAATATAGTCGTCCAATATATCAATCTTTATGTCTCGGCCATTTCGAGACTCCTCGTCATGTCCGTGATCACATGCGGTTTTTGCTGCTCCATGCTTTTTACTGAATTTACCACCACAAAAATTCCAAAGCATCACTCGATGGTGATTTTACTAAATTTTACCACTACAAAAATACCAAAGCATCATTGGCTGATGACAAATGTGATTCTTGGCATGCATGTACCGTACAAACTTGCACCTACTGATTAAGTGCAATTAGTATCTTCTATTTGAAAGTTGGTCTCCATAAACATTGAATTTTTTGGGGGGGAATTCTCTGTACTATATTGCACATGTATTTATTTAAGTTTCCTGCCATAAAAAAATCCTAATTGCACTTCCAAGAGGTGTTGCATCATGACATATTATGGTGTTCCTGTACTATAGTGTCTGTGAGCTGTCAATGATTGTAACAATGCTGATGCTTCTGAGTTATTAGTGCAATATGTAAGAAGCTAAAGACATAGTTCGTTTTTGTTCTTATGGTAAAAACCAAGTTTGTGAATTTTTCGTCGTCCCGGGAATACATTGTTTTGTTCAACAGATGTGGCTTTGCCATGCACCTAGAAGGTCATCGAGGAGGGATAATTAGTGCATGAATTATGCTGGTTTTGGAACGTCTCTTTGGTAATATTAAGGTGAATACATAATTTAAGTAATTCTTATTATAATTACTCTGTTAATTCTATGGTATGTACGACTTTGCCATCTGTCTTTTTTCTGTATAGTAGACTATAGATGAACTGTTGTCAGCCCCAAATATCCATCTGTGGTAATGCTTCGCTTAGATAGCTTTCTTGGTAAACATAGCATGTCTGTTTATGGAGCTTATTTGGGTGCTAATTTTCGTTCACCCTCCAAATTGTGTATTGGTAGAGCTTTTTTTTTGCCTTACCACATTATAACTCCACATCCCTCCCTTGAGGGACTATATCTCTACATCTCATGTCTTGCTGTAAGATGTAGTGTGAACCAGTCACCTTGAGATTTCTAAACATAGTTGATGGTGTAAATATCTATATTATATTTATGGGAATTACTTTGACTCTATAATATGATAAGATGGTATCTTATGGAAAAAACACTCACTCAAGTATTTTGGTATCTGCATTCCGATTTACACAAGATTTTGCTGGCTTCAGTTTTTTTAATACTATAGTTGATGTTTCCTTTCTAGAACAGTCACTCCAAAGTATTTATTTTGGTATTAGCATTCAGTTTATGCAATTCTGATATGCTTAGGTGGATTTATAATTCCTAAGACTCTAGCTGATATTGTCTTGCTGGAATAAGATGGAAGAAGTGACCTAACACTAATAAGTTTGAGTTGGTCTAGGTTTTTGTAATAACGTAGTTGATCGTGCCTTCCTATTATACGAGTTTGTTTTGTCCAGTAAGAATTTTTT